AAAAATTTTTGAAAGTAACGAAGAGGGGGAGGGGATTTAAAAAATTTTTCAATTTTGCAAAATCTGAATACACAGTTGCAAAAAGTATGAAATACACTACAACTTTCATATAAACCATTTTTGCATATGCCTTGTACTTTAAAAGATATATCCTAATGAAAATGGTTTTTCTCTTCGAAGGATAGTTTCACCCCCTCAGACTGGAATTTCGCACGAACAAAAAATAGTTTTGCATTACGGATGAACTACTTTACTTCCACACAAAGTTTCAGAATTTTTTGAATTTCCGTGTTGAATTCCCTAACCTTCCTTGTGAGCTTGACAATAAATTGCGAATTCTCAAGCCTCATTCTTTTATTGCTAAACAGTAAACGTTATTCATCGCAGAAAGAAGAATCTCCATGAGGGTGAAGTGATTGTAATCGACTTTTTCCGAAAACTAATCGTACGTTTGTCAGAATGCCTCACAAGCATTCCACTTCAATAATGATCAGTGCACGGTACTTCCCGTTATTTTCTATTACAAAAAAAATGACAAATTGAGGTACAAAAGTTATATATTTTTATCAGAGATAAAACACGATATGGCTGCTGTTTATTCTATTTAAACATTATTGATCCCAGAGATAAAAAAGAATATAAGCGATTTAAAGCGAATAATATACATGACTGTTAGAGCGAAATAGCACTTGAAAAATAAGTTCCAGATTCCGAACTTGAGTCACCATAAGAACAATTTTGATGTACAATGCAACTGCTCGCGGTAAGAGTGCTTATGACAGCATTAGTGTAACGTTTAAGAGAGGCTTATAGGACGAGTCTTAGTGCAAAGCCAGAGGATGCAATCCTGACAGTTCGAGCACTTTACAATTGGGCGAGAAACCATCTCAAGATGATAAACATCTTTTATTTCGATAAAACGTATTATAAAAAGATCAAGAGGAAGCTGAATAAGAAATTTGAGGGTGCTTGTTCTGTACGGAAATTCTCAAGAGTCATGGATTTTTAGTTGGGTCTGATAATACGGTTATAATCAAAAGGTACTTCAATGAGGAAAGTGGAGTGGTATGGGAGGCATATCGATAGTGAGGAATGCAGACGCAGTTACATACAGATAATACCAATACACAATCAGCCCTTTTCAGAGCTACATGATGTGCAAAATCCGATCGCACAACTTCCCCGAGATGCACATTGGGTAATGCTAATGCCGACGGTAACGAGTGATATATGATTCGATTAGTACAAACGCATTAATAGGTCGTGATGTCCTACGTTCTATCTCAAATTCCTAGGATGACCATGCATTTTCAGGGTTGTATAGCGTGAGGGTTATCGGATTTTTGGATTATAAAGCTCGAGGTTACGTAGCGTGAGGGTTATTAGATTTTTGGATTATGAAGCTCGGGGTTATAGGGTTTTGGAGTTCTGGGGTTATAAGTTTCCAAGGTTATGGAGCTCGGGGGTCAGGGGTCCGAGACTGTGAGCTTTGGTGTCATCAATATTTGGATTATGGAGTTATGGAGTGTGAGGTTAGGGGTATTATGGAATCATATAAAGATGAGATTTGGATCAATGGTGTTTTGAAGATATGAGGGAGTCTTGATTCGGCTCGTGGGATTCAGGGCTCATGGCATTCCAGCAATAAAGAGATTTCAGGACTATGGAACTCATTATGTATTGGGTCATGAGAATTTGGGATAAGAGGTTTTTGGGTTAGGATTATGGGATCCGGGACTCGTGGCGTGCGAAGAATACAGGTTTTTATAGTAAGGGTTCATATATTTACCGAGTTTTTAAGTTTTAGAGATGTAAGATTGGAAATCTCGAAATTTGTAGCGAGATTTTCCATCGATTTCATGACTTTTGTTCGTTTCGGTTATATTATGGCGCCGCCATCTTGTGGCACTAAAAATATCAGACGGATATTCATCGGAAAATAGACATTTTAACGAAAATTTTGAGCTCTATAAAAGTGATTTATATCGAAAATTGAGATGCGTAGGTGGCTGAGTTGACAGAGAATGCTCTATTTATATATCACTTAATACTTTAATGTACACCCAGAGAAAAGATTTATTTAGGACAAATAAAATTTTGTTCAGACAAATAAATTCTCTTATTAATATATGGGCTAAGTAAAACTTTATTAATTTTAAGCATATTTATTTATTTGGCTATATATTTAATATCAATTGTGTACATATATTAGTGACTAATAAAGAATTAATTTAAAGCAACAATATTTTCTTCTTTGAAAAAAATATGTATGTTATTTGTGTATATGCCTATTGCTTTATTTTGCAAAAATTAAATAATATAATGCAGAAATTAAATAAAAAACAACGTTTAAAACTTGTTTATTTTTTTTAATGAACATAGAATAATATGATTTTAATATTACAATAACGCAGTTTTATTATACGGCATAAAGAATAGTAATATAGGGGGAAGAAAGAAGGAGGGAAGCCAGGAGCGGAGACGGGGGGAGATCGCCCCGGTCTCCCTCCCAGCAAGGGAGGCTGCAGTAAAGGAGGGAGAGGCCCGAACTCCCGACTCCTGCGAAACCCTGGGGTAGGACCTGGTACAGGATAGAGGGGAGGTCAGGCCGGCCTCCCCTCCCACGAGAGAGGAGGACATGGGGATGAAGATCGTCCTGACCTCCTCAGAAGAATTCCTGGAAGGAATATTGATGGAGCCATGGCCCAGGAGGGAAACAAGGAAAAGGGGGGCGACGGACAAAGTAGCCCCTCCGACGAGGAAGGAGGGACTTCGTCACCGGAGGAGAAGACGGATAAGATGAGGAGGGTGGAGCGTTGCGCCACACCCCCCAACGAACCTAGCCGTCGAGGGGGAGCCGGTGGAAGCGCCACCCCCGGCTCCCAAAACGGATGTCCTCCACTCGTACTCCCGAGAGGAGGGGGACACTCGGGTAAAGGCCCCCTTGTGCCTCCAACTCCGCAGAGGCATCAGAGAACGAGGCCACCATCATAGCCAAAATCACCTCTGAGGATGAGACTTTTTCGGAGTTCACTCCGATAGACGTCTCCTCTGAGGAGGAAGAAGTAGGGCGCCCGGAGGAGGCGTGGAAGGCTCAGCCTTCACGCTCCTCCGAATCCTACAGACCAACCTTGGCCGCGGCGCCCGGGCCCAAGATCTGTGGGTTCACAGGCTTGCGGAACTGGGCGCCGGGCTGGGGGTAGCTACCGAGCCGTCGTAGGTGCCGGCTGGTAATCCAAACTGGTCGGACAGCTGCGATGGCATGGTGGCCGCGGTGGCCTGTCCCACGACGGGGTCTCCCTTCTGTAAAATCAGGAAAAGGGGGACCTCGACAGGTCCCCCTTTTCCTGACAGGCTCACTGTGGTGGGCGTTTATCTCCACCACCGCAGGAACAAGATCGGTCTCGGAGACCCTGCCCGAATAGAGAGAGTCCTCGACAGCGTCGGGGATTTGGTACGACAGTGCCATCCCCGACCCGTCATAGTTGCCGGGGATTTCAACGCCCACTCAACAGGGTGGGGTTGCGATCCCTGGTAAGGAGACTCTCGGGAAAGGGCCGTGATCGACTGGGCGGCGGGACTCTGCCTCCTGTTGATGAACAGGGGTTCGGCCAGCACCTGCATTGGCTGAGGGGGGAGTCGATCGTAGACTTGACATGAGCTTCCCCCTCGGCCGCCCGAATATTCGGGGAGTGGGTGATGGAAGTGGAGAGTGAGACGTTATCTGATCATAGATATATAACGTGGCCTTTCTGTCTCCCGACCTCTCAACAACGGGTGCTGGACCGCCGCCCAGGGGAGGAGAACATTCCCCTCCCCAAGAGATGGGCCCTTGGTCGGTCCTTGACGCGGACAAGTTCCAGGCGGCCATCCTTATAGCCACCTGGCATCTCGTAAAGAGGCCAGGTGAGTGGGACCTTAGCCCCCAGGAATGGGCAAAGTAGATAGTGGCATCGTGGCATGCGACGCTGCGATGTCTAAGTCCCACCCCCCGTCGGCGCCGGGCCGCATATTGGTGGACGGAGGCCATAGCCGAGTTACGGCGGGCCTCCGTCCAAACCAGGCGGGCTTATACCCGTGTCCGGCGACGAGACGGGGATGCTGCAAGGGCAAGGGAGGGCTACCTCCAAGCGAGGGAAGCCCACAAGGCCGCCATTACCAAGGCGAAAAAGAGAGCCTGGGAGCAATTGATGGACTCCCTGGACGAAAATCCGTGGGAACTTATAAACTGACAGTCGGTAAGATTCGTCCGTGGGCGCCCCCCACCAATAGAGTTTTTGGACCACCAGGTCCTTGAAGGGCTACTCGATGCCCTCTTTCTGAAGGCAGAGGGAGGCCCCCCCCCAGATCCCCGTTCCCGAGATGCGGAACGGGGACTGGGACGAGGGCCTGGAGGTCAGTCCAGAGGAGTTCGCCAGGGCCAGGAAAAAGCTCGGGGCCAAAGGCAAAGCCCCTGGTCCCGACGGTATTCCTGGCCGAGTCTGGGCTCTCGCCTTCGGCGAGGGGAACCTGTCCGCGGCTACGCGGGTCGTCATGAACAGGTGCCTCAAGGAGAGGGTATTCCTCCCAGAGTGGAGGAGTGCCAAATTGGTTCTCCTCCTGAAGGAGGGCAAGGCACCCGGGAGTGCGTCGACCTACAGGTCGATTTGCCTGCAGGACGAGGCGGGCAAGATGTTGGAACGTATCGTTGCCGACCGCCTCATCCAGCATTTGTCCTCGAAGAGGCCGAATCTCCACGATCGGCAATATGGATTCAGGCCCGTTCCACGCTGGACGCGATACCTGTCTATCTCTGGCGCATCCTCGCGGCCTACTTCGAGGACAGGGATCTCATCTACTCAGGGAGAGGCGGGGTCCAGGGCCGGCGCACAATGAAACACGGTGTCCCGCAGGGGTCGGTTCTCGGCCCCCTGCTATGGGACATCGCGTTCGACAGGGTACTTCGCTCTCACCTCCCCCCTGGCTACCATGTCATCTGCTACGCAGATGACACCTTAGTAATGGCCGGGGTGGAGAACTGGGGGGAGGCCCGCCTTCTCGCGGAGGCGGTACTCGTATCGGTGGTGGGCCCCATCAGTAGCCTGGGACTGAAGGTGGCACCCCAGAAGACAGAAGCCGTCTTTTTCCATGACGGCAGCCGTAGGGCACCGCTGAAGTCTTGGGTCCTGATGGATGGAGTTCCCGTTCACGTCGGGCTCACAATCAAGTATCTGGGCCTGACGTTGGACGGCCGCTGGGACTTCGAGCTGCACTTCAGATATCTGGCCCCCCGGGTCCGCAAAACAAGTCTGGCTCTGGCCAACCTGATGAAGACCCAGGGGGGCCCAGGATGGAGGGCTCGCCTTCTGTACGTTGGTGTCGTGCTCTCTATCGCCCTCTACGGGGTGCCCATATGGGCGCCCCAGCTACTGTCCAGCCGCCGTAGCAAATGCCTGTTGCGTCAGGCTATGCGGTGGTGAGGGCGATCCGGGGGTACGGCACCGTGTCGCACATGGCGGCGACCACCCTGGTCGGCTTTCTCCCCTCGTGGAGCTCCTAGCTCACGAGAGGCATGTCCTCTACTGGAGAGTGAAGGAGCTCCACGAGGGAGGGGAAGGTCCAACGGCCAGGGACCTGACGGCCTTAAAGTCTCAGGCCAGAGCCCGGGTACTGGAACGGTGGTCGGCTATATTGGCCGACCCCCGGGGACCCGGGCTCCGAACGGCCTAGGCCGTCCGCCCCTGTCTGTCCGAAGTGGCCGACAGGAGGGGACGGGGAATCACTTTCCCTCTGGCGCAGGTGCTGACGGGACACGGGTGTTTCCTGTGCCGGATTGGGAAGTGGCTCACCACCGGCTGTCAACGTTGCCCGGAGCCTATGGACACGGCGCATCATACGCTGGCGACATGCCCAGCATGGAGCTAGCAGCGCCGTGTCCTGGCCTGGGCGGTGGAGTGCTACGTGGAGGACCTCTCGCTCCCGCGCATGGTTCGCGCCATGTGCGGGAGCGAGGAGGCATGGGGGCGGCGGCCTCCTTCTGCTGCGATGTTATATCGCGGAAGGAAGCCGCCGAGTGGGAGCGCCGCCCACGTAACCGCCGCAGGGAGCGGCAGTGAAGGCGGCGTTCCCCAGGGACGGGTAGCGGGCTCGAGGTGGCGCCGGCCGAGAAGGAGCTGACATCGGTTCGCCGGAGGTTTTCTCCTCGGACCCGCCTTCGGACGCGTGGGGGAAGGGGTGACGAGTGTGTAAAGCCCATCCGCTTCCCCCCAGGCGTCGGTAGAGATAGATGAAGGGGGAGTGGAAGCTTGATTGGGGCCGGGCTCCACTCCCCCGCCCCCCTTGATGAGCAAGAGGGGCGCGAAAGGAGGGTGGGTGTCCCCTCCCTCCAGTAAGTGTTACCAAAAAGCCAACCCGGCCGGGGACCGCGCTCCCGATTTCCTTTGTGAGAGGGGGTGCGGTACTTAGGCGAGGGGCTCTGAGGGAGGGAATACGGGAGTAGTTCCCCTGACTTCCCCCACTACGGTCCAAAAGGTAGACACCCCGGTGGGGTTTTAGCCGATAAGAGTCTGGCATAACCCCCCCAAGGGGCGGGGGTATTCATGAGGATTTCCCCACCGTTATAAAAAAAAGAAAAAAAGGAGTAGTAATATAGTGCTTTTTATTCATTTAGCGTATATATAATGGTGTTGTATCTGGCAAATTATTTACCTAAACATATTGATTCTGAACATCAATTTCATTTGGTTCAACAACATATGAATGACAATGTTCGTCAAAACCGAGAATGCGTATATTTTTACACAAAAGCAATACAGTTTCCTGCTTCACAAATATAGCATTCACTAATCCAAAATGTGGCAAATCGTCGTGTATACCAGTACAATACATCTCCCTTTATATAATCGCTCGTTATAATCGATCCATTTAACAGGGATGAACTTTTCATCAACTTGACAAATTACACCGATAGCCCAAGGTCCTTGGTTTATTATGTTATTTAAGATTTCATTATTCGATAGTCTGTATGCTAAACGCAACTGGTGATCGATTGCAATGGTTTGAGTCAAATTTATTCGACTCGCGGAATTTCGAGCTGCTTGTAACCCTAGTGCGTGTTTTCCTTCGAATCTCATGCACCAGAAGTTATGTAGAGAACCATTGTCATGAATAATGCGCCAATAGTGCATTGTTACGTCCTGGAGGAGGAACGTAACTGGATGCTTACATTTGCAAGCTCTAACGTACTCGCAAGTCTACGGTGCCGATCAAGGATCGGAATGACTCTTTTATACGGCGCGGACGTATATCGGAGGTCCTTTATTTAGGTCAAGGAACTGAATCATTTTACCTGGGATGGGACCGTGATCGACAGTTGAGAGAGGTGGGCTAGAAAGGTGATTTTAAAATCAATTATTGGGGACTTGAATAAGTTCTCGCTGTTTCCCGACAGATGGTGTTATCTTAGCCTTTTTGCATCAGGCAATACTATAGCCAACTTCATCGTGAAGCTCCACTATTAGGTTCGAAGTGACAGTATATATTATTCCGTTGAAGCGTAAACAACATATTTTTTTATAGCGTTAAACATGTTGAATTTCGTGCCAAAAAAGAGTTTTGCAGGGAATTTTACTGCATTACCTTTTTCAAAAAAAATCTGCAGCTGAAGCACGTAGAATTCTTGTGGAGACTTACGGCAACCATGCTCTGTCGGAAACAACATGCAGGAATTGGTTTAAACGCTTTAAAAATAATGATTTTGATGTAGAAGATAAAGAACGCTCTGGCGCACCGAAAAAGTTTGAAGACGAAGAATTGGAAGCATTACTCGATGAAGACCCATGTCAGACGCAAAATGGACTTGCAGAATCATTAGGAGTTGATCACACAACAGTTGCTAAACGTTTAAAAGTATTAGGAATGATTCAAAAGCAAGGAAATTGAGTGCCGTACGAATTGAAGCCGAAAGACGTTGAACGGCGTTTTTTCACGTATGAACAGCTACTCCAACGACAGAAAAGGAAAGATTTTTTGCATCGTATCGTGACTGGCGATGAAAAATGGATACATTACGATAATCCGAAGCGTAGAAAATCGTAAGGTAAGTCTGGCCATGCATCAACATCGACGGCAAAGCCGAATATCCATGGTTCCAAGCTCATCCTTTGTATTTAGTAGGATCAGCTAGGTGTAGTATATTATAAGCTCCTTAAACCCAACGGAACCATCACGGGAGATCGCTATCGATTACAATTGATGCCTTTGAGCCGAGCATTGAAGGAAAAATTGCTGCAATGCGAGGAAAGACACAACAAAGTAATTTTGCAGCATGACAACGCTCGGCCACATGTTGCAAAACCGGTCAAAACCTACTTGGAAACGCTCAAATAGGAAGTCCTACCCCACCCACCGTATTCACCGGACATTGCTCCTTCCGACTACCTTTTCGTTTCGATCGAAGACTCATGGCCTAGCTGAGCAGCACTTCTATTCCTATGAAGATGCCAAAAAATGGATCGATTCGTGGATAACCTCAAAAAATGAGTCGTTCTTTCGACATGGTATTCGTATGCTGCCAGAAAGATAGAAGAAAGTAATGGCTAGCGATGGACAATACTTTCAATGACATGTTCTTTACTAACTTTTTTAAATAAAGCATTCATTTTCACGAAAAAAGGCGAGAACTTATTCAAGTCCCCAATATATAAAGAAATAATTTGAACAAATAACAAAATTTATTAAAATTAAGATAGCAGGCAGTACCAATGGTGTCAGATGCAATATATTGCGATGCTACAGCGCATGCGTGAGATGACGTAGAAACTCGCTGCTTGAGTAAAAGCCTCAGTATCATATCTTTTTTAAGGTATTATAGCGCCCGTATTATACTATTAGGTGTACAACTTTGCTTCCGCCGTTTTTTTTTGCAAAATTCGAGGTTTCATTGTAAAAAACTGGTTATACATTTATGATTCAAAGTATTGTCCATCACTGGCCACTACTTTCTCCCATTTTTCGGGCAGCGTACGAATCTCGCGTTTAAAAAACTGGTCATTTTTTGAAGCGATCCACGAATCGATCCAATTTCTTACTTCTTCATAAGACCGGAAGTGCTGATCAACCAGGCCGTGTACCATTGATCGAAACAAGTAATAGTCAGAGGGAGCAACGTCTGGAAAATACGGCGGGTGGGGTAGGACTTCCCATTTCAACGTTTCCAAGTATGTCTTGACAACTTTCGCAACATGGGATCGAGCATTGTCATGTTGCAAAATCACTTTATCGTGTCTGTCGTTGTATTGCGGCCGTTTGCCTTTCAATTCTCGGTTGAAACGCATTAATTGCGTTTGATAACGATCGCCTGTGATTGTGTAATGTGATGTGTAACAGCTCATAATACACTACACCGAGCTGGTCCCACCAAATACAGAGCATGACCTTGGAGCCGTGAATATTCGGTTTGGCCGTCGACGTGGAAGCATGGCCGGGATATGCTCATGATTTTCTGTGCTTGGAGTTATCTTAATGAACCCATTTTTCGTCCCCAGTCACAATGCGATGCAGAAATCCCTTTCGTCTTTGCCTTTCAAGCTGTTCACAAGCAAACAAACGCCGTTCAACATCTCTCGGTTTCAACTCGTACGGCACCCAATTTCCTTGCTTCTGAATCATTCCCATGTCTTTGAGGCATTTTGAAATTGCTTGTTGGGTCACTCCCAATGATCGTGCCAATTCTTCTTGACTTTGACACGAGTCTTCATTAAGTAATGCCTCCAATTCTGCATCTTCGAAAACCTTCTCTCTTCCACTGTTATGCCGGTCTTCGACATGAAAATCACCATTCTTGAAGCGTTGAAATCACTCGCGACACGTTCTTTCACTAATAGCAGCCTCACCATAAGTATTTGAGAGCATTCGATGAGCTTCAGCCGCAGATTTCTTCATATTGAAGCAGAAAATTAAAACCTCCCGCAAATGACGAGAATTTGTCTCATAAACTGACATTTTCAATCGAGAATAACTTTATGATGCAGACACAAATCGACTAATGTTTCTATGGGGTTATGTTGACAGATGCCCAAATTTATTGCATGACGTATATGATCTATTTATTTCGACCACTACTTACCGCTAAAGCCATCTATAGGAAAACGGCGGAAGCAAAGTTGTTCACTTAATACGTATTGAGAATTGCAATCGAGTAAATTAGATAATCTAAATCGTGGTTATTTTAATTGGTCCGATAGTAATTCTCAATCTATAATCTAATATGAGTCTAATACAAATATTATGTAACAGTTACATAGTTGAGTGAAAAATTATAATGTTAATGTAACGTAACTGTTACTTAGTATCCGCTGGAATTATAATGTTAATGTAACTGATATTTAGTATCCACTGAATAATATAACTTAAGATAAGGCAATCGTGCAAGAAACGCGGGAAAACTACGCTGAAGCCTGGAAGACAGCTGATCGGATAGCGATCCGCTGTGGCATAGAGCTCCTACGTCATCTCACGCATGCGCTGTAGCGTCGCAATATATTGCATCTGATCACTGGGGGTGCGTTCCACATGACGCTCGCAACGATCAGATCGCTCACAATTCATTCCATTTGGCGCTCGCGAGTATCTCACGAGAACTATAATGTGCAACTTCAGACCATTAAAATAACGTTCACAACGCTCGCGCTAAAGAGGTGGGTCGGCGTGAGGGCAGGATTACGATGAACTTTACGTAACAGGACGTGAAGTGACGTGACGTGAATTTGACATTTGAGATTATATTTGATATTACGATCAGCGTAACGTGCCGTAATAATGAATTCTGCTGTGAGGCAGTATCAATTTGTAAATTTAATTTTGGCCGGGTATTTGTATCTTCAACTGCAGAAGAGGAAACAAATACGAACCATTGGTGTGAGAGATATTTTTCGAAGAAGAATTAAGTTTGGTGACGGGCATAACCTAATAGAAGAACTCCGTTTTTGTAATCCACACTTTTTTTTATTTACACAAGGATGAATGTCGAAAGGTAAGAATTAGTGAATATTTGGCAAAAAATATAATCATTTTACAAATTAATATGTCTGCTTTTTTACATTGTTATACCTCTTGGTCTTGCTTGGTCTACTAATAAAGAAGTGCAAAAGATTAATAGTTTTCTGACATAGAATTTATTTTTACAAATTATATGTTTATTTTTTTAGATTTGAATACTTGTTGAGCTTGGTTGGTCCACTTTTAAGGAAACGAGAAATGTATACTGCTCTTTCACCCGCTCAGAGGCTTGCTATGACATTGAGGTAAAATTACCAATGTTTACTTTATTTTAATTTATCAATTTCTCAGAGTCGATTTAATTTATAAATTTGTTTTGCAGGTTCTTAGCAGCAGGAGACAGTCAGAATTCTCTGAGTTTTTCTTACAGATGTGGCCAGAGCACTGTCTCTAAAATCTTGGCCGCAACCATTCGAACACTTGTTTGTGTATTAAAAAATATGTTTGTGAAACCTGCTTTAAATAATGCAAAGTGGCTTGAGTTATCTGCTGAATTTTGGAAAGAATGGCAGTTTCCTCATTGCGTGGGAGCTATCGATGGGAAGCACGTTCAAATACAAGCCCCACAAGCTTCTCAAAGTATTTATTTTAATTACAAGAAGACGTTTAGCATGATTCTACTGGTAGTTTGTGATGCACATTACAATTTCATTATGCTGGATGTAGGAGCAGAAGGCTCACAAAGTGATGGCGAAATTTTTCAATCGTCTGAAATGGGTCGGCGATTGAGTGACGGATCCCTTAACTTGCCAAATTCAAGTTACTTGCCAGGAACTAATATTGATATGCCCTACTTCCTTGTAGGAGACGCAGCTTTCCTTCTAAAACCTTTTCTTATGAAACCCTATGGCGAGCGCAATATATTAGGTGTAGTAAAAAGAAATCCATTATTTTTCCAATAGATGGCTTTAGTTATCTGTATCTCGCGTTGTATAAGTCCGATCGGGTTCCACTAGATGGCGTTAGAAAGATGAGATTTCGTACTAAAAAAACCTTCCTGAGAGTTTTGTAATTAGTTGACTCAGTTTTGTTTGAGCGAGCGTCAAAGATGGACACTAGCAAAGAGAAAATACGCTATATTTTACAGTTTTACTTCGATAAAGGCGAAAACGCAAGCCAGGCGGCTGAAAATGTGAATAGTGTTTATGATCCTGATACTGTAACAGCCAATCACGCGCAATTTTGGTTTCGTCGATTCCATTCCGGTAATTTCGATGTCAAAGATGCACCACGCACTGGAAGGCCAATTGTCGAAAATATCGATAAAATCATGGGCATTGTCGAGTCCGACCATCATGTAAGCACTGTTTCGATTGCCCAAGAGCTAAAGATTGCACAAAAAACCGTTTGGAACCATTTGAATAAGGCTGGATACAAAAAGAAGCTCGATGTATGGGTGCCACACGAGTTAACGAAAAAAAACCTCATGGACCGAATTTCCATCTGCGAATCGCTGCTGAATCGCAACAAAATCGACCCATTTCTGAAGCGGTTGGTCACTGGTGATGAAAAGTGGATCACTTACGACAACGTCAAGCGAAAACGGTCGTGGTCGAATCGCGGTGAGCCGGCGGAAACGGTGGCCAAGCCAGGATTGACGGCCAGGAAGGTTTTGCTGTATGTTTGGTGGGATTGGCAGGGAATTATCTACTATGAGCTGCTCCCCTACGGCAAAACTCTTAACTCGGAACTGTACTGTCAACAATTGGACCGTCTGAAGGAAGCAATCGCCCAGAAGCGGTCAGCTTTGGCCAATAGGAGAGGAATTGTGTTCCATCAGGACAACGCCAGGCCACACACATTGATAGTGACTCGCCAGAAGCTCCGGGAGCTTGGTTGGGAGGTTCTTATGCATCCACCTTATAGTCCGGACCTGGCACCAAGTGATTACCATCTGTTCCTGTCCATGGCGAACAATTTTGCTGGTGAAAAATTCGCTTCAAGAGAGGCTTGTAAAAATCGACTGTCTCAATTTTTTGCCAATAGGGACGAGGGCTTCTATGAGAGAGGCATAATGAAATTACCTTCAAAATGGCAACAAGTTATCGAACAAAACGGCGCATATTGGACCTAAATCGGATCATTCTAACTATGGTAATTAAAGCCTTCAATTTCATGCAAAAATAATGGATTTCTTTTTACTACACCTGATATCCCATAGCGAGTCTGTGTTTAACTTGCGGTTAAGCAGAGCAAGGAGATTAATTGAAAATGCCTTTGGTATTTTAGCTGCTCGTTGGAGAATTTTTCGTCGCCCTATTATTGCCAAAGAAGACAATGTGGAAAGCATCATTGAATATGCCGTTTGCCTCCACAATTTCATCTGCAAGACAGGTGACACAAAACTCAACTTGCAGTATTGCCCCCCTTCTTTTGTGGATCATGAATTGCCAACTGGCGAACTAGTAGAGGGAGCATGACATTGTTGCTGAAGAAAATGAAGCTATCATTAATGGTCCACGGATGGGTGCAAGAAATGCTGCTCTTAGTGTCATACAACAGAGAAATGTACTGAAGGAATTCGTGAACGGACCTAGGGCTATGTGCCATCAAAATATTATTGTAAGGATACGGCAAGGAATTATCCCCTCTCAGGATGTACATTTATTGTCATGATAGTTTTTAAATTAAATAAATCGAGATATAAAACATGAATAGAACGTTTTTATTTTTAAGTAAAATGTATGGTAAACGAAACAACAAGTTTAAATAATTTATCTAATATTAACATATAATTAATTTGTTATTTTTAAATCTTCAGCCTCCTCCTCGCAATTTTGAATGATGGATCTAAATTTCTTCCTGTACTTCAATTTTAGTGCGATATTTTTTAAATTCTTGAGGCAAGATTCAACATTCTTACCAATTGAGACATCTGGATCATTAATGTCGATTGAAGGTAGTGATGGTATAGGAGGAGCAACTATAAATTTATTGAGATTAGCAAGAGTCTCTTTGAACATCTCAGTAGTTTCGTCCATCTTTGCCTTCTTACATCGACCTGTAGGTCCTAAGTACAGCATGCTTGCAGCTGTTGATGATCCAGATGAAGATGATGGGAGGGCAGAGTAAGTAGCAAATGGAACATTAACTGGAGCACTAAGATCATCTACAGTCTGCTCCTCTAATATTTCGACATTATCTGAGGATTCGGCCAATGACGGTAGAAGCGACATCTCTTCATCTCTGCATGATAACCTTGCTGAAGATATAAGTACCGACGACATTGGTGGGAAATTGTCCACAGATCTACAACCGGAAATAATTAATCAAATCATGACAGTTAGAACAAACCGCCATATACAATCGTCAATAAAATTATCGTCTAGATAAATCTAAACAAAATTACTTAAAAAAAGAATAAAAAAAGCCAATTAACGTTCTCGACTTTTGCGAGCATGTTTTACTTGAACTGAAAAATGTCATTTGACATTGTGTTGTGTATTCAGACAAACATACAGACAACATGCAGATTATAAGACAAACATACAGACAACATACAGACGCCAAGTACAGATTTTGAATTTATTCTCCCTACTTTCCGCAGTCTTTTTAAAAGTAAAAATGTGCTGTGTCTCCAAAAAATTGCTCAATTTGATATATCTTATAAGTAGGTTTATACGATTTTTTTCGCGGCATTGCGACATAACAAGGTTACCTATGCATTAAATTTTTATTTGAATTTACCTATGCAATTATTTTGTTGACGAATGTATTAAACTTACTTCCTTTTCCTAATATGAGGTGTCAGAAATGACATAGCACTATATGTTGGCCATTCTGGACGGGTTGAGGCTGCTGCTCCAGACCTCCTCTCCTGCTCAAGAATACGCTTCTCTTTTGTGAACCTCTCGCGAAGGGTTTGCCACCTGGCTATACAATCTTTTACTGGTGCTAAAATCATGAAAAAAAATCTATATGAACTTTAAGTTCATATAAATCAATCAAAAAGGATGAATAACCTACCATTGGCTGTTTCGGCCACAATTTTCCATGCAGACTCTTTTATTCCGATATTCTTGAATCCTGCATGTCCTTTATTATATATTTCGGGATGCGCTCGCACACACTCTATTAATAAAATATCGTTGATCGACATTTTCTATATGAATTTTGTCTGTATGTTTGTCTGTATGTCTGTATGTTGTCTGTATGTTCGTCTGAATACACAACACAATGCCAAATGACATTTCAGTTCAAGCAAAACACGCTCGCAAAAGTCGAGAACGTTGATTGGCTGAAAGTGTCACGTGAATGTCGATTTCAATATTTTATATAGAACCCCCTATTTTTACATATCTTGTAGCTTATCTCGAGAGCTTTCCAAAAGCACTTATAACTAACAAGGGACATTCAGCAACGCGGAAATTCAAAAGAATCTGAAACTCTGCATAATTGTAGAGCAGATATACCTAATAACAAAACAATTTTTCGTTGGTGCCCAAAAACGGTTTTAAGGGTGGAAACAACCCCTTGAACAAAGTTGATTTTTGTCTTTCTAAGCGAATATTATCGAAACTATTAAAGATATGAAAAAATGTTTTAGACAAAAGTTTTATGGTTTTAAAAGTACTTTATTATGCTATATTTAGATTTTTTAAAAATGTAAAATTATGTATAAAATACCCCCCCTCCTTCTCTTTTTTCAAATTGTTAAAATCAATTGTCCAACTAAAATAAAGCTTATTTTATGACAAATTCAACCATATATAATAACATTATGTTTGGAAAAGGCAATATTGAAAAAAAAATTAAACATGTTCTTATATGTATGCTACGCGTACCAAACTTAAGGATTCGTTACTTGACGATGGCATTTCTTTCTTCCTCAAATCTTCCTCATAATTGCAAACTGTAAAAGATAAGGAAGGAAGAAAATAGAAAATCTAAAAAAGCAATAAAGTTGATGTTAAGAAGTAAGTAGGAGAAAAATAGCATGATAAGGATACAGTCACTAATATTTAAAAATGTTATAAATTATAAAATTTCACGTAATAGACGTTTATTTTGCCAACGTTGCGGCTACCTTTTTCATTAATTTAAACGACACGCGTAAATGTAAATAAATATGTGTGTGTGTGTATGTGTGTTTTTGTACGTGCGCACGTGTGTGTACATCATGGCAACATGCAAAACACTTGTCACAAGTTTTATGACTGTGCGACCAAAATAGCACTCTTTATCAAGTACAGTGCAATCAAGGTTAATTATATTGACATATGTTTTCTTCATTCATTTGCATATAAAAGCTGTCCATTTTGGAATACATTTCAGTGTTATTGAAGCAGTTATTGAAGCAGTACGTATATTATTATTGCTGTGAGAAATGTTTAATTAAAATATCCTTAAGATTTGTATCATAATGTCAGTAATAAATCCAGCTAATGTTATTAATTTGTTAATTGCGACATTTCATTTCACAAATATTGCAATAACTCCTGTTAATCATCAAGAGGTGGAACTCCATGATACAATTACTGATTTAATAAAGAGTGCTATACATCACGATATTACGATCGAACATGAGTGGGGACTTGATTTTGACGATCCATCAGAACCGCATGACGTACAATTTGTAGATGTGTACGATATTGATGCTGAAGAAGATAATTATGGAAATGAAGTTTGCACTGTGGATGATGAAGGTGGAAATGTAAACTTAAATTATAAGAAAAAGGCAATCGAATTTTGGAAGAGTGGAAAGAAAGGACATTTATCTCTTACTTCTGTACAACATCGTTTTAGAAAAGTAAAGTTTAATTAAAAAATAAGAAGAATAATATATAGTAAAATACTTGAGGCTTTTACAGTGTACAGTGACCGGCAGTGATTCGTTCCGCGACAGAGAGAACTCTATTTCCCCTCTCGCGGAACGCATCATTGTCGGTCATTGTACATACAGCTTTGACTATAAGTATAAAGCATCCCAAAAAATTTATTTAAATTGTGTAACAAAAACATACTATATGAATATATGGAGAACATAATATAGTATACGAGTATATGGAAAAATAATATAATAAAAAAATATAATATAAGAATATGTGGAAAATAATATTTATTTTACAATATTTATTGTAATATAATATAATATTAATATAATATAAATTATAATATAAATATAATATACATAAATATAATATACACATTATATTATAAAATATTAATATAATATTTATTGTAAAGAGATTATATATTTACTATGAGTATATGCATTGATTTCTAGGAAAATACAATGAGTTAGAGATGCTTTATACTTATGACCAAAGCTGTAAATTATATAGTTAGAGTCGCGTTGTTTTTTATTTTAAGTTTTACAATTTGATGTTTCGTGAACATTTAATTCGTATATAACTTCTTTTATTTTTGAATTCGAACTGTTTAATATTGAGATTTGTTTTCTTCTAGGTAAAATCTATTCAACAATTGCACAGATGGCAAGAACATGTAATGCGTGGGGGTTCAAATACAGACAAACTTGTAGTTATTGCTGAATATGTTCTTATAAAATTCCAAGAAGCTGTTAATAGAGGACTTATTATTCATGATATAAATCTGCCAAAATGGGCACTAGAAGCAAAGGAACAAGTGGATTTTCTTCATTTAAAGCAGGAAATTGGTGGATATGGAATTTTAAAAAGGCACATCGTATTACATCACGTAAAATAACTGCATTTAAAACGCGGTCTTCTCATTTAACTGATCTAACTATACGTCAAAACGCTGAGGAATTTGTAAATACAGTAAAGCCACATATTAATGTAATCGGTGCTGAATCAACTTATAATGCGGACGAAAGTGGCTTTAATTTAGAAATACATGCAGGAAGAACATTAGCTAATGTAGGAGTGAAGACAGTTGGAGCTACTATCCAATCTTTATCTGCTATGACTCATAGCTACACCATTATGCCTATTATATCTGCAGATGGACATCTCCTTTCGCCTTTGTATATAGTATTAAAAGAATCTACTGGTGTTTTTGGACCACAAGTAGAACAAACTCTTTTTAGACCAGTGAATATTTACATTGCGGCTTCAAAATCAGGGAAATTGACAACTGAACATTTCAAAAATTGGTTCCAAGAAGTGTATCTACCAAACACTGGAGAGAAAAGTATACTACTGCTTGATTCATGGACATTGCCCGAACCAATTGGAAGAACTTGTACCAAAAGACAAACATGTAAATATTCTAACAATACCAAAAAAAACAACTGCTTTTATACAGCCATTAGATGTTTTTGGTTTCAGAATCTGGAAAAATTTTGTTCGAAGCTTTTCTGATAGTGTTATTATAAATAATTATGACATAAATTCACATTTACGTAATAACATAATAAAATTGCAATCTTTAACACACAATCAACTGTCTTCTCCAAGATTTCGAAATTTATTTAGATATAGCTGGTATAAAAATGGTTATTTATCAACACGGCCTGAAAAATTTCATAATCCAATCGATTATTGTTATTTTAAAGAAGAAAAACGCATACCAAAATGTAGCATTTGTGGTAAAATTTTTATACGTTGGCTTTTATACGTTGTGCATGGTGCAAGCAATATTTTTGTTTTGAACATTTCTTTGAGCAATATCATTATTGTAATAATTATATAGAATAAATAATATTTTACTGTCCTCAATTCCTGTAAAATTTGTATATATTATAATCCATACCAAAATATAAGATATCTTTCACTCGAATATCTATATCGACTACTTAATTAATAAAACCTATATACTGAATGAAGCAAAACACATACACACAAATGTACACTGAATAAATTTATAAATTATATTTTTCATTATTAAATCCGTGTGTGTTCTCCTTTTTTCTTCATATCATTCATTTCCTTATTTGTTCTTTACAATTGAATTTAAAAGATTATCTATATTAGGGTTATATACACTCTCTCTGCGTCCTCCTTATCATGCTGTTCTTCTCCAACTTACTTCTTAACATCAACTTTATTGCTTTTTTAGATTTTCTATTTTCTTCCTTCCTTATCTTTTACAGTTTGCAATTATGAGGAAGATTTGAGGAAGAAAGAAATACCATCGTCAAGTAGCAAATCCTTAAGTTTGGTACGCGTAGCATACATATAAGAGCATGTTTAATTTTTTTTTCAATATTGCCTTTTCCAAACATAATGTTATTATATATGGTTGAATTTGTCATAAAATAAGCTTTATTTTGGTTGGACAATTGATTTTAACAATTTGAAAAAAGAGAAGGAGGGGGGGTATTTTATACACAATTTTACATTTTTAAAAAATCTAAATATAGCATAATAAAGTACTTTTAAAACCATAAAACTTTTGTCTAAAACATTTTTTCATATCTTTAATAGTTTCGATAATATTCGCTTAGAAAGACAAAAATCAACTTTGTTCAAGGGGTTGTTTCCACCCTTAAAACCGTTTTTGGGCACCAACGAAAAATTGTTTTGTTATTAGGTATATCTGCTCTACAATTATGCAGAGTTTCAGATTTTTTTGAATTTCCGCGTTGCCGAATGTCCCTTGTAAGTCATTTTTCATTAAGTACTTTGCGAGTTATGAGGCTTCTTACAGATAGATTTGTAGAAACGTTACTTAAGGAGATCCGAGATTGAAATCATATTATTTGTTCTTGTTGATTCTCCACACGTGAACAGTAAGCCACGTAAAGTTGGATTTACGTGAGTCCCTTTGCCTGTCATTTTTTATCAATTATCAATCCACGCTTAACAAAAACCCGAAGTTTAGCCAGGGAAGGTACAACAAGCAGCGACTTAGCTTTACATAATGCATTTATGTGTCATAGATGGTCTACTAAAAGGAATAGTTATTGTTTCATTTGCAGGAACATTAATATTTTCTGCCATATTGGAAACGCCTAATTATAAATTGCAATTCATTGTAGAACAAATCTGAATAATTATGCAAGATTAAAAACTAAAGAAGGAGAAAAAATAAAGAAGAAAAACTCAAAAATAACAAGATATCTTTTTGCGTAATAAAAAAATCTCGAGAAGCTTCGAAAAGCTTCTAGTTTCGAGAAGCAGCTCTGACAAGAACTAGTTTTATTTTTATCGTAACCAGGTCCCTGGGTACGGGCATACACGCATTTTGTGTATCTCTGACATTAAGATGTGAGATCGGATCCGATATAAGGCCATGGACATAAGCAGAACTTGATCTATTGAATTAAAAGATTAAGGGATCGTAGTTGCTCAAAAAGGTGCATACAGTTCTTAACCCTTTGCAG